CACAAGGGTAGCGCGGGCATATTCCATTCAGTACGCCAGCCGGTCGTAGGCAGACGGTCTTGCGACGAAGCATCGCTGCGCCGAGTCGGAGTGCCTGCTAGGCCTATATTCTGACAGCTTCGTCAGAGCGGGATTTGCGGCTGTTGTCGCTCTTCTCGGGTGTTTGTGGATCCAGCGTTCTTGTTCGTCGTGGTTTGTTTTAAGTACATTTCTTTCTTGCTGCTTGAAGTCGGCACGCGCGAGATGAACACGTAGAAAAATAAACGTTCAGTCAGTCAGAGTTTTGAGAGGAAGGAAACCAAAGGAAATAACCGTTCTGAACTTGTCCCTGCCCTACTGCGCACGCGCAGTAGTTGCTTCGTTTACCACACGATAGATGGCGCTTGGCTCTCAGCATTATCAAATTTGGCAATTTTCGCCACACATCTCTAATTATGCTACAAAATGTGGATCTGAATATTATTTAACAAAACTTTTAGGAAACATTCGCCGGCTATTTATTGTTTACGATCGCGGTGCTGGTGAGGTAGGCTCTTACCCAATAGGCGATGTGGATTCGGCTGACGTGCACCGATTCTGCGTATGCATCGTAGTGAAAAGGCAGAGCTTTCGAAGGAAAGAAGTCGCAAAAGAGTCCAGTTTTCTTTTAAAAGTTCTATAGCAAATAATTTTTTTTGGCTCCCTAGTCTTGTGTTTTTGTGTTCCTTTTCACACCTTTTACGACGTGCGGTGGATGAAATTCGATTTTAAAATCATTTCATGGTCCCTTTAAGCTTACCAGTGGAATCTTTTTCTAGGATCAGCGCCATGCTGCACACTGCAAAGGACTTGTCCCTTGCTTTCAGGTTGTATTGTGATTGCTTAGGCCTGCTGACTGGCCCTGGATTTCTCCTGTGCCACATCAGTGGATTTTCGCATCCTTTGTCTAAGTTGCAGGAGGTATGATTCAGGGGGCAAGTTAAGCCCTATTGGGGCAGCCCATTTCCCCATCCAGTACCTAGTCCATAAAGCAAATGGGCTGCTCGGTGCTCTGCCGAACATCATTTCGAAGAGGTGCACCCCCGTTGTCTCATTCGGCACTTCATGATATGCCCAAAGCAAACAATATAATCAACGAAGATTCTTTGAAATGGTAGCTCGGGTCATGGGAGGGGTACAGTCGGTACTCTGTCAAGTATGTGATCCCTGGACTATATCTGGCATCCATAGCACGACTGACAGTGGGTTGTGACATCTTGAGTCATTGTTGGCCAGAAGAACTCGCTTTTTATTCTTTACTTAGTCGTTTTTTGTGAAAAATGGCATCCTCACGGGGAGTCGTGCGCCAGCTCGAGTGCCTTGTCACGCTTGGACGTTGGCAGCACCACCTGCTCTAGAGGTCGGCCATTAATGTCGTCGCGGTGATATAAGAGCCCCCCCCCCCCCCCATGAACAACCATGCTGTGTGTCTCATCCTCAGCCTCCTTCCAGGCCTACTTCAGGAAACCATCATTGAGTTGCTCTTAAAGACCGACGACCAGTTCGCGCTTTCCACTTTTCCCTTGCTTCCTCCTCTCCCCCCTTCTACTCTGTCCACCGTTGCCTCTTTCCTCCTCCCCCATGGGGAGGAGGGTCTTCTGCCTTGCAGAATCTCGGGTCCGGTCGTCGGCCTTTAACGGAATTCTCTTACGCCTGTACCTTCGTACATCAGTCACTATTTCAGCCTCCTCGTACTCAATTTCCCTTTTCAAGCACGCATCCGGGTCCAAACATCCGGAATCAGCCTCGAACTTGCCCTTGAGCCTCACGAGTTTTTCATAGATGTCGGGTGTTATGAGCGCGTCTATCCCTCTGCCAGCTCATCTGTCACCGGGCAAAGCGACACCACCTGAGGTCCCGTGTCATACTTGTCACAGTTCGCACGTAAAGGTACATAACATCAGGTCCGCAGTCACCGACTTACCGAAGGCCCCATGGAGAACAATGGGCCCCGAAGCTTTCAAGTTTTTAGTTGGAATCTTGCTCCTTCTGATCACAGTGATATCTGCTTCCGAGTTTAACACTCCGCAGAATTTGTTTTGTTCAGACACAAAAGAGACCAACTGGAGCCGTGACTCGGTGGGCGGGTCCCCCGCGATACCCCTCTCGTCAGTCGACACTTTCCGTAGCGGTTCCTTGTGATCACGCTCCACAGCAGCGGCGGTACCACCTTTAGGGACCTTATCCTTAGGCTTCGGGCAGTTAGCCCAAATGTGCCCCACCTTCCCGAAGCAGCTTCTTTTCTCTGTACCAGAAGCCGCGCCTTTAGTTTTAAGACTCGGTTGATTCCCTTTGCGATTTGGGAAAGGTGGCCCCTGCTGAGCCCTCGATCCCTTTTGCATTCGCTCATAGTTGACCGCAAGTTTGGCCACGTCTTCCAGCGGTAACCATTTTCCCTTTTCGCCCAGGTCTACATATGCTCTAGTGCGCTTTAGCTGATCAGCCATCAGCAACTGCCTCAGCGTCTCCAGAGAGGTCACCTTGCTACTTTTAAAATAATATCCAAGGAAGTCGCCCAGCTGGGGCGCAAACCGTCCTCAGGACTCCTTTTCGTCCTTTCTAGTTTTGTAAAACAGCTCCCGCTACTCTGCTGGAGCAAGCTGAAGCTCCTCAAGCATTGCTCCTTTTAAGTCGTCGTACGATGCCATCGCGTCAGCAGTGATTCGGTTTGCGACTGATCTCTTTCTTCCGGCATGTGAAGGCTAATGAACATGGTCTCCAGCCCAGAGAACCACGAGGGCGCCAACGGTTCGGACTCTAGCATATTGGACAATACGCACCTTACAATCCGCGAGTACCCAAGTACCTCGTCTCCCTCCGTTCGGGCAGCGCTGGCTCCTGACGTGGAGTCCTGCGCCCTGGCAAGTCTAGCCACTTCCAGCTCTAGTTTCAGCTTTTCAATCTCCATCTCCATTAGTTCCTTTCGGAGCTGCAAAGCGTTGCTGTCTATATCGGACTCCCCTTTTGCCCCCAGTTCACTACTGCTTTCAGATGTCTGGCCTTTCTTGGCGTTTGATCGCTTAACCGACATGACGCCCAGAGGAGAACGACAACCTCCCACCTGGTTGTTGTGTCCGTCACGGTCTCGGGCCGCTGTTTGTCCCGGATAACTGCAGCAGCCTTGACCGCTGCCGACTTGTCTCCCTTGGGCACTGTGCAGATCAGTTGTCTTGAGGAGCAGCACCTGCAGCAATCACCAGCTGGTTTCCCGTCACACCTACGGCGACGGTCGAACGTCTCGTTTCTCAGCGAGCTCACACGGCTGTTCGTCGCACCTGCGGTGACAGCGGACAACCGATGCTCTCCAATGGTCTCGTTAACATTGCGTCGCAGTTCCACGACGATTGGGTGGCTTGTTTCCGTTTCCATACAGCCCTTCCAGCCCCCATCACCGGCGACAGACGGACTGTCACGGAAGTAGGGAAACTCTTCAATAAATGGAAATAATAGCCCACTCCAAGGCCAACAAAAATTACTTAAAAAAAAAAAGAATAGAAGTGCTAGGTTGGACCGATGGCAGGTGATAGGTCCACGCCCGGTGCAATGTCAGGTAAGGAGGCGACGACACGTAGATGGTCAAAAACAAAACACAAATTTAATAACACTTAACACCAAGCAGTCGGTGGCGCGCGGCGACAAAGTAGGAACAACATAGAAATCACTTAGCGAACTATCCAAAAACCCTCGGGAGTACATGCACTAACATCCCAGTTAGTAACGCTAAAAAAAAAAAAAAAAAAAAAAAAAAAAAACATTCCCGAACAACCCTCGATAAGACAAACTTAAAATTGATCGAACACGTTGGCTCTAGCCAATCGCAACATAAAATAAAAGCCTTATCTGTAGTCCAGACGCTGCCGAAGCCTGTCTTGGAGTCCCTGATCGATGAAGAGGAGTCGTCACGGAGTCCGGAATCTTCACGCTGCTTGCAGGGGACGACCCGACGCACTACACGCGCACGCACACGCACCGCAGTGCAAACACGCCCGAAGGCTAAAATAAGCTCAGGCCCGCAGGCAAACTAGGGTCACAGCCCTACGTACAGAAAATACAATCGCGACTCAAAAACAAGGCAATGACGAGCGGAGTCCCGGCCAGCTCCGGGCACTCCTAACCCCAAAGACGAACCACACTTTTTCCCGCCAGTCCACGTCTTTATATTGAGACTAGCAGCATTTTCAGGGCTTGTAATCTGGCCAATCAGCAATCAGCTTCTTAGCGCCAATCACCGCTCTTCGTTTTAGCAAAGCAACTAAAAATACAAGAGTACAGTACCGAGAAACAATCCGCGAGAGACTTTGCCCGCCTGCGCGGCGGTGAACGCAATTCGAGATGCCCGGTTGTGGGCAGTCTTCGGTCAACAAGCAAAATTAAAATAACAAATTCAACAAACCAATGCTCTCGGTCGGCTTCGACTTTCGAAGAATGGAGACACCATCCAGCGCTCCCATGTCCTCTCTCACCTGTGGAGAGAGTTCTTCCGCCCGGTTTCATAAACACCCGCATGGGAACGGGCACGGCCGAAGGTTGACACCATGCATCTTGCACTGCTGGTGTGCCCGAGAGTTCTTACACAAAGCTTACAAGAAAACCCCGCGATTCGTGACATGACTCCCCACTTTAAAAATATTCACTCGTGAATATTTTCACAATAACAAAGAACGAATCGCAAGAACACGTCTCTAAACTCACAATGGGACACTCTGCTCGCATCAAATTCAAGAAAATGTGCAAGCAACATCTTCAAAGAACACACACTATGGCATAAAAAAGACACAATCACTCTTGTTCTGGGCAACAATCTTAACATATCCAACGATACACGACATAGGCAAATTGTGCTTAGGTACCATTTCTGCAGTCAAAATGCACACAGAATCAACTAAATGTGCCCAAGATCAAATAAAATAAAAGTGTGACGAAAACACCCTGCTCACACGGAGGACAGCTGTAACGTACAAGTTCAAACTATTTCTCACTGTTTACATACGACTCAAATAGTCCGCCCCCACATTTTCACTTCCCTTGATATACTGAACTTTAAAATCATTCTCTTGCAGCTTCAGACTCCAACGCATTACCCGAGCGTTAGCGTGCCGGGTTTGTTTGATGTACTGGAGGGGTTCGTGGTCTGTCTGGAGCACGAATTTTCTCCCGTAGAGGCAGGGCTTAAGTTTGTCGATTTACTGCTAATCCCTCTCGTTCAACGGTTGCGTAGGCTTCCTCCCTCGGAAGAAGTTTCCGGCTGGCGTACGCTATGGGGTGTAGCGTGTCATCATATTCCTGCAGCAGAATTGCGCCGATGCTGTGATCGGACGCATCAGTTCGTAGCACTAACTCCCTCTCGAAGTTGGGCAGCTTCCGAATGGGGGCCTCCGTAAGGCTCTTTTTCAGCTGGTCGAAGGCTCGCTCGTGTTCTGGTGTCCACTTCACGGTGTTCGACTCTCCCTTTTTGGTCAGGTTAGTGAGGGGCGCTGAGATCTCTGCGTGTCCAGGGATCAAATCTCGGTAGTGGCCCGTGAGGCCTAAGAACGCTCGCACCTGATGCTTTGTCTCGGGTCGTTTTGCGTCCCGGATTTTTTCGATGGTTTTCGGAAAGGGGGGCCACTACTCCGCGGCCGATCTGATGTCCTAGAAAAGACACTTCCTCTAGGCCAATCTCGCATTTGGTGGGCCTCACAGTGAACCCCGATTTGCCAATTCTGTCAAACACCTGCCGTAGAGTGCTCAGGTGTTGTTCCCAGGTGTCAGTAGCGATCAGTACGTCGTCGTAGTAGAAACTAACGCCCGGTATGTCTCCCAGCAGGAGCCTCATAAGGTGCGTGAACACTGCCGGCGCCGTCTTCAGTCCGAACGGCATGAACTTGAACTGGTACAGGCCACTGGCCGTGGAAAAGGCAGTCTTTGGTCTTGATTCATCTGTCAAGGGGATCTGTCAATACCCCTTGCTGAGGTCGAGCTTAGAGAAGAACCGTTTCGTCCTGACCTCTGCGAACAAGAGGTCTGCTCGCGGCATAAGTTCTGAGTCGGCGGCCAGCACGTCGTTCAACCGCCGGAAATCGACGCAGAGGCGGTGAGTCTGATTGGGCGTTTTGACCACCAACACAGGGGAATTGTATGCGGAGTCTGCCCGCTCGATAATTCCCATCTGTAACATGCTTCGTATTTCGTCTTCGATGCTGTCGCGCACTGCAAATGTTAACGGATATTGCTTCGTTTGTACCGGCTTGTCCGTTTCCAACTTCAAGTAACACTTGATAAGGTTGGTTCGTCCTGGAACGTCGGAGAAGATGGCCCTGTACTCTTGAACCAAGGCCTCGGCCTCTTTTCGGCACTCCGATGCGAGCCCAGGTGCGAACACGACATCGCTCGCAGTTTCGGTGCTCTGCGATCTCAGCATGGGGAAACCGCCCTCTCCTTCGGACTCCTCCAATGCGACAACCGTACAAGCCGCAGGAACCTCGTCAGGTGCTCGTTCTTCATACTTTTTAAGCATGTTGCCGTGGAATACTTTGATGCCATGCCCCAAGTCCACTTTGTAGTCTGGGGGCCTTTCTGTCCGACTACGGGGTATGGTCCCTTCCATTGCATTAGCAGCTTGTTCTGGTCGGTGGGGAGCAAGATTAGAACTAAATCGCCAACACCAATGTGCCTGTGACGGGCCTTCCGATCGAAGCAACGACGGTAGCGTTCGCTGGCCCGCTCAAGTTCCTCGTGGGCAATCTTACAGGTGTCCTCGAGCTTATTGCGTAACTCGAAGACATACTCATACGTTGTCTTGGTCTCCTCCTCCAGCGCCTCATTCGTCCACAATTCTTTAAGTACAGAGAGGGGACCTCGTACGTTCCTTCCGTAGAGCAGCTCAAAAGGGGAAAATCCCAGGCTGGCCTGAGGAACTTCTCGGTAATCAAACAGCAGCGGTGCCAAGTAGCGATCCCAGTCTGCTGGCTTTTCTTGACACATCCGCTTCAGCATGGTCTTGAGCGTTCCATTGAACTTCTCTACGAGGCCGTTCCCCATTGGGTGGTAGGGCGTCGTGAACAGCTGTCTCATGGAGAGCAGCCGTCCCACCTCTTTCATGACGTCCGACGTAAAGTTGGAACCGCGGTCACTGAGCACTTCTCGGGGAACCCCAGTTCTAGTGAACATCTCCACGAGTGCCTCGGCTACTCGCTCGGTGGAGATATCGGGCAACGCCACAGCGTCTGGATACCGCGTCGCGTAATTGACCATCGTTAAAATATACTTGTTTCCCCTCTTGGTGGTCGGTGAAATGGGGCCCATGATGTCGATGGCCACGCGTTGAAAGGGCGTCTCGATGAGCGGCATACTCCCCAGGGGCATCTTGGCGACCTTTCCTTTCGGCGTCGTGCGCTGGCAGCGGTCGCAGGACTTCACGAAGCGCTTCACGTCTGCTCCGATGCCAGGCCAGAAGAATTCTTCGAGCACTCGGTTTATTGTCTTCTGAGCACCCTGGTGACCTGCCAGAATTCCATCGTGCGCCATTTTAAGGATGGTGGTCCTGAACTTCTTAGGCATCACCAACTGGTGAACTTCTCTTCCGGGTGACGTTCTGTAGGACCGGAACAGGATTTCATTTCTTACCACAAAGACGCAGGAGTGCTTCCGCTTCTTGCCCGTCATAGTTTTCCCGACGTTTTGGAAACACGTCCTCAGGCTCAAGTCGTTTTGTTGTTCACTCTTCAAAGTCTCTGGTGTAACTGCTCCTTCCTGAACCTCCGATACTCTCAACGGTGTAGGCTCCGTGGTCTTGTGTTCAGCCGCCTTCTTTTGGAGTCTTGTTTCGACCGCCGCGGTCACAGTCGGTTCTTCATTCCGTACGTCAGTCTCGGGCCTGCTCTCTTCCGCTGCTGGTAAAGCGTCCCATTCGGGATCGGGATCTGCTGCTGCTCGAACGCCCGGAATGTTGCCTAGTATTATATCATACAGAGGACTTTCCATGCAGAGAGCCGTCACCTCCCCACTGAAGAATGGAGACCGCACCAGCAGCCTCGCCTCCGGCAGCATCTTAACGGTGCCATCAGCAAGGTAGACCGCCTTGGAAGTTCCCGTGAGCTCCTCTTCCGAGATGAGATTCTTCCGAACGACTACCGTTGCAGCCGGTGTCGCGTAGGACGGTGACACTGCGTGTTTCTACCCTGCCGGTTCGCACGGGTACTCCATTCGTCAAATTCGTTTCCTCCTTCTCTATCGTGGAGTTTACCACAGGGAGACGGTCACCGTTCTTGAGTTCCATGTATCCGTCCTGGACGACCACTTCTTTCTTCTTGGTGGGCTCGGCAGCCACACAGCAGGAAGCTTGAGAACGGCCTTTTGATCCTTCTTGACAGGAGTTGGCCGCATGGCCCGTTTGTCCTCACCTCCAGAAAGATGCCTTGGTTGTGACTTTATCCCGACAATCGGTGGCACGGTGCCCAAGCCGGTTACAGAGAAAGCACCGCAGTGGTGGCCGCTGTCCTTTACTTTTCTTGTCGACGGGCCGTGGGCGTTCGGGAGTCGGCTTCTTTTCCTCCACCTTCATCCCAAGCGACTGCGTTCCTTGCGCCTCCAGGTATCGGTCGGCCAAGTCTGCCATGTCTGCCAGTGTTTTGGTTGTTCGCTCTCTGATGAAGAGGGCCAGCTTTGGCGAGCAGCCCTTGAGGAATTGCTCGGCTAGGAGCAGATCCCGAAGAGAGTTGTACTCCTTGGCCGTCTCAGAGAGCTCAACCCAGCGGTCGAAGAGACTGGCTAGACGCGCTGCATATTGGGCCCCGGTCTCTCCTCCTTCAGGTTTGGCGTTCCGGAACTTTTCGCGGAAATCGTCCGCGGTCAATCTGAACCTTCTCATCAAAGCTCTTTTAACGGCATCGTAGTCCACTAACTCCTCTGGGCTCAGACGTCCAACGACCGAGAGCGCCTCACCTTTCAGGCCCAACGCGAGCATCGTCGCCCACTGGTCGCGAGGCCACTGTAGGCCCATGACTAGACGCTCGAACCTGAGGAGGTAGGCGTCCAAGTCGTCTTTTTTCTCATCGAAGGCCGCCATCCAACGCTGCGGACTGGTCAGCACTGCGCTGCTGGCCACCGAACTTTTGTTCGAGGGACTGTTCGCCCTCGCTCTTGCATTTTCGGCTTCCGTCAGCCGAATCTTCTGCTACATCATTTTTAATTCGGCTTGAAGCTCCGCTTCTCTAAGTTGAGCTTGCCTCTCCGACTCTTTTTCTCGAGCTTGCCGCTTTTGTTCGCGAGCGCGCTCCTCTCTGTCCTTATTCTTCTCTTCTTGTTTCCCTGTTCTTATCTATTCGATTCCTTTCTTCTTTAAACAAGGCTTGCAGTTCAGCCCCGCCTAAGCCAAGTTCTTTCCCAAGAGCGTACAAGTCCCCGGGGTCCTTCTCAATACTTTAACAAAACGCGATCATAAAAAAAAAAAAAAAAAAAAAATCGCAAGTCCTCTTAACTTATGCACGCTTGCTATGATTCTCCACGGTGAGGTCGCCTCTCTCCGACATTACACCATCGCCACCAGTCCTGTCGCGGACGCCAGTTTGTCTAGGAAGTGGGGAAACTCTTCAATAAATGAAGATAATAGCCCACTCCGAGGCCAACAAAAATTACTTTAAAAAAAAGAATAGAAGTGCTAGGTTGGACCGATGGCAGGCGATAGGTCCACACCCGGTGCAATGTCAGGTATAGGGGTATCCACACGAAGGAGAACTCCGCGGACGGATGTCGTGAAGTCAGCAACCCGGAAAACTCCGTCCCTGGCTCCGCCGCGTGCACCTGCGAGCTTTCATGCTAACAGCACGAAGCCTCCGCGCCTCCGCCACGGAGGAGAACGGCGCCACGAGGCATCAAAAAGGGACGACGTATGTCTCACGTGATGCGCGCTCCGCGGAGGAAAGGGGCGGATTTCTCCTTCGTGTGGATACACCTTAAGGAGGCGACGACACGTAGATGGTCAAAAACAAAACACAAATTTAATAAGACTTAACACGAAGCTGTCGGTGGCGCGCGGCGACAAAGTAGGAACAACATAGAAATCACTTAGCGAACTATCCAAAAACCCTCGGGAGTACATGCACTAACATCCCGGTTAGTAACGCCAAAAAAAACATTCCCGAACAACCCTCGATAAGGCAAACTTAAAATTGATCGAACACGTTGGAAAGTCTTATCTGTAGTCCAGACGCTGCCGAAGCCTGTCTTGGAGCCCCTGGTCGATGAAGAGGAGTCGTCACGGAGTCCGGAATCTTCACGCTGCTTGCAGGGACGACCCGACGCATTACACGCGCACGCACACGCACCGCAGTGCAAGCACGCCCGAAGGCTAAAATAAGCTCAGACCCGCAGGCAAACTAGGGTCACAGCCCTACATACAGAAAATACAATCGCGACTCAAAAACAAGGCAATGACGAGCGGAGTTTCGGCCAGATCCGGGCACTCCTAACCCCAAAGACGAACCACACTTTTTCCCGCCAGTCCACGTCTTTATATTGAGACCAGCAGCATTTTCAGGGCTCGTAATCTGGCCAATCAGCAATGAGCTTCTTAGGGCCAATCACCGCTTTTCGTTTTAGCAAAGCAACTAAAAATACAAAAGTACAGTACCGAGAAACAATCCGCGAGAGACTTTGCCCGTCTGCGCGGCGGTGAACGCAATTCGAGATGCCTGGTTGTGAGCACTGTCTTCGGTCAACAAGCAAAATTAAAATAACAAATACAACAAAACAATGCTCTCGGTCGGCTTCGACTTTCGAGGAATGGAGACACCATCCAGCGCTCCCATGTCCTCTTTCACCTGGGGAGAGAGTTCTTCCCGCCCGGTTTCATAAACACCCGCATGGGAACGGGTACGGCCGAAAGTTGACACCATGCATCTTGCACTGCTGGTGTGTCCTAGAGTTCTTACACAAAGCTTACAAGAAAACCCCGCGATTCGTGACGCGGACACACGACACTTTTTGACAGTCTTGTTGACTTTCTTCGCAACCCTAGCGACTGCCCGACGTCTTGTGTCCGGCAAGCTCCTGTGGCTTCTGGTCACATCCCGGTGACGGCCGGGCACTCCGCGTCGTCTGGTGTTCTTGACCCTATGTCACACTCACGGCGACGGTCGGACGTTCAAGTGTCTGCTTCCAAGTAGCTCCTGTGGCCACTCACACCTTCGGTGACAGCCAGACAATCGACATCCTTCTGATGTCGCAGCTCATTCGTCATCTTCACCTGGAAAGCTTCACCTGGAAACCCAGTCATTCGTCATCTTCACCTGGAAAGCTCTCGGTGTCCCTTATGGATGATGTAGACAGCTTTCTCCTCCGAAGGGCGGTGGCAAAATCCTTGTCGATTATACCAGTTAAGGGTCCATATCACATGAGCGAATGACGTTTTAGCGAACAGCGACATTTGAGCGAATCGACGTTTTAGCGAATAACGGGGGCGCGCGTTAACCCATCCGCGCTTTGCGGCGACAGTCTGCGGTGGCTCATTACAAAAATGTGAACCCATTTGGCCCACCAGAACACGCCGCTTCGCGGCGTCCGAATATTCGCTAAAGTGTCATTCGGTGAAACGTGGGCGTTCGCTAAAACGTCATTCTATCAAGTGAGTGCCTCCTTTTGTTGGGTTGCCGTAGATGTCATGACTTGGCCAACGGAGATCGATGTGGTGGCAGAGGGACACCCAAGTAAAGGAGACAATTAGATACATGCGATTTATGTACATATATTATGCGCACCAGCTGGTTTACAAATTTGAACTCTGAGCCCCGCGAGTCCTCTCGTAGTCCGACAGCGTCTTGTTTGCTCTGATGCTCATGTGTAAACTACCTTCTCTCCTGCACTCCCCCAAAATTCTGGGAATCGTCCCCACTTCCCCGGACGCCTGGTCAGCATCACTCGTCACTTCGCTCTGTTGTTCAGCACCCGTCGGCAACCCCTGTCAGGGTGTCTAGCGATCAGGAAAACCGGGAGTTGTCAAGGAAATTTTAATTACCGGGAAAAATCGGGGAATTGTCAGGGAAATTGTCAAAAAGCAAGCCCAGTCAGGGAAAATGAGCCGGAAACGCCATCGAGTGCCCTGAGCAAAGACTTGAGAACTTGGGGGCAGAAATATAGGCAATAAATTCTGCTTGGAGTGTTGCGCGGGCTCTGCTCATTCGATGTAGAGTGTGCTACCCGATGGAAAGGGAACAGCCGCCAGATCCAGTCCAACCCTTGGATTGGATTGAGGGCGCGACACTATGCTAGATCCAGTTAGAGCTACTAGATTCAGTAACAAATGGGAGAACCGCAGACCCCAATCAATCCAAGCCTTAAGCCGGAAAGTATCCGAAAGTATGCATCTGGTGGCCATGACTTGGTCATGGTGCCATTCGGTTATTGAAGTCTGTGGTTGAGCGTCGTGTTTTCATCGTGTTTCCGGAAGTGGCCTCTTCACTGACGATGTCGGCGGCAAGAAAGTGCTTGTTTAATCCGGACTGGACGAACCCGAATATTTCGTAATATGCCAGTTGGATCAAGCCCGTGCAAAATGATCCTCACATTGCTCAATGCTCAATGCCTTGTGTTGAAATGGTCTGATATATTTAACCGCCTCTACAGTGGTCGGGGAGTTTCACCTGAAATTGTCAGGGAAAACCTGGAAAAGTAAGGGAATTTCAAATAATAATTTGCTAGACACTCTGCCTGTGCTCGAGGTTGGGGTTACTTCGGAATTCTTTAACTACCGTCGTTGCGTCCGGGACTCATAAACATTGCGAGCTTCGTTTCCTCTTAAACCCGTCACAAAAAAAAAAAAAAAAAAAGCAACAAGGATTTTAGTAGAACACAGTTTCCCCGAAAGTCCTGAAACCTACAGTTTACGAGATCGTTGTTTTTAACACTAGTTTGCATGCTTATTTGTAGAATCATTTTTTGTTAAAGTGAGATTACACATTAAACTTTTGTATTTGTAAATATGTATAGCTTATCGCATTGTTTTTCACCGATTTACTAATTTGTTGATTTTTATTTGTTAATGTGATTACTCATTGAACTCTTGTATTTATGATATGTATAGTTCTTTAATTCATACACGGTAAGTGTAAACAGTCTTGTTATGTACTTGCAAGTGTTAATAAACTGACCCAGTGTTGCTTTGAAACAAATGATGCATGTGCTCACTTCCACAAAATAGGGTGTTTTTGTAGGTCGTTCCGATGCCTCCGATAACGACGCGATGCGTGCGCAAAGGCACTAACGAAGTATCGAGTATTGTTATCGAAGTTTTCGGAGTGGTCTGCTAAAACTCCCTCAAATGTTCGTAAAACCTCAATTGATGGCGCTAGAAGCTGAGTACTAGAGGTAAGGCCCGTATATACTGAAAGTTAGTACAATTCCTTCTCTTCCTGCGCTTTCCTCCTTTACATCGAGGGCGATCCTCCTCGCCCTCCTTGCGTGCCACGCCCCCTGCTGCTATTTTCGTGCGAGGCTCACAAGGCGCGCGCCTGTGCATGCCGGGCCGTACTTGCTTGCTATTGCACTATTGTGTACAACAAACAAGTGTTTTTTTTTCTTTTTTTATGAAGACAGTTATGTTTTTTATATTGAAGAAACTAGCACGAGGACGTCTCGTTCGGCAAACGTAATAACGCGAGTTGAAGTTGGAGTCGTTTGGGTGTGAAGACAAGCTTCTTCAATTTCGCTGAACGTGGACGATTTAAGAGAAGTGCCGATGTGGCCCCGAGTTTTTTTGGGACATCGACACGCTCTGCAAAAATATATTACATTTACCCGTTCGTTGCAGCAAGTGCTGAGGGCGGGCACAATAGAATGCACCTCTTCTTGCGTGTAAACAGACAGTTTTAGTTGATCGTAGGCAAGGACTGCGTTGCTATCAGTAGCTCATGCCCCCGCTTTGAGCGTGTATTGAGCACGCACCCGCAAGGCTCAGCAATCCTTAGCGTA